CCGCTCCGCGGGACGGTGCGCGGTCCCTGGTCCCTGCCCGGGACTGGCGAGGGCCGCGCCCGGGCAGGCGGAATGGCCGCAGCACTGGCCATCAGGGTGGTCGTGGGGCTGGCAGCCGCGTCGTTGGCGGCCGTGCTCTTGGAACACTACGGCCTGAGCGGTTCGTCCTCGCCACAACCCCAGCCCCGCGTCCCCCGGAGGCCGCACCCGGCGCCGGGTCTTGGAGCCACCAACATCTTCTGGGGCCTGCAGGTGACGCAGCGGGAGCCCGGCGGGGGTGGGGGTCGGTCCCGGTCCAGAGCTGGCACCACACGGTGAGACGCGGGCAGTTTCCTCGGGGGCGCGACCTGTGCATGTTTAGTTCCCACGCTCGGAGTTGGGGGGCTCGGCCCTTCCCGGGGGAGGGGGAGTGTTCATTGATGCACTGCATCTTTACCTTTTCCTACCCCCCACCCTTCCACCCCGAGAGAACTGCTGGGTTGCTCTGCCAGTGCTGCCTCTTCCTGACTCAGATATCACTGTTTAATACCTGCTTTCGGCAGATATCCGACATTCACCTGAGCAGGTTTCGTGATCCAGGCAGAGCTGTAGACTTAGAGAAGTTCTGTTCTGAAACTATTGACATCATTCAACCAGCTCTCGTCCTAGCAACAGGTAGGGAAGATTGCTGTGCTGTCATGTTGTTCTGTGGTCCAGAAGGTAGAATGCTAGCCAGGGCTTCAGCTTTCTCTTTGGGGACCTTGGGAACACTATAGCCACAGCCCCAAGTGAGTCCTCCTCCTGTAGAGAAACACATTACGAATCCCTTTGCCTATGGATAACTGAGTCAAGATCCTGGCTAAAAGACCTGCCGTGGCAAGGTTTTGTTTAAAGCAACTCACTGTTTTCATCTTAATGTCGGCTGTTTGTATCTTTTCGTTGTTGCAATTCTGAATTTGAGAGAGAATTAACCACAAATCAAAAGGTTAAAAAAACCTAACTTTTCCATGTCTTTACAGTATTAATCTTATATTGTCAATCGTCAGAGGCTTCAAATGACTCAGGATACTTTTTCTCATCCCTTGGTACTTCTGTGACTTGGGTTCCGTAGAGTCTTCTAACCCCTAACCATTTACTCCTGAACTATGTTGGAGAAGAAGCTAAAGGAGCATCTGTCCTGTCTACTGGGAAATTCATCCCACTCATCTACTGAAACACCTCTGCTTATATGATGGAGTAGCAGTCCTCATTTTATGGAAAACCCTTGATTTCACGTGTCTGTCTAGTTTTCTAGCAATGTTGGTATCTCATTGTCCAAATACACCTTCCAGATTGCTTCTTGCTGTAAAACAAAGTACTTGGTGAGATTATATATCTTGATATTGGGCTTGGAAAATATGGTTGCCATAGATATCAGGCACCTTCCCAGACTGTTGTCTTATATAGAGTTTTCATTTTATCAGAGTCTCATGCTCTCTTGAAAGATATATATTTTTTTCCCCAGCCCATTTCTAATATCATAGGAGATTAAATAGGCACTTGCTGAGAAAATCTAGATGGCTTGCTTTGGACATAAATGGACTCATAAGTAGCTATGCTTATACATGTTGAGTACTTTAAGATCTTTGTTCCTTCCGTGTGCATTAAAAAACATTGATGCTCTGGGGTTTATTTTGCATTGTGATTCAATTCTTATGTAAATCTACAGGAGATCTGACAGATGCCAAAACAAAAGACATGTTGGGATCTATGCAGCATGAGGTAGAATGGCAAACCTACTACAGTATTCTGAAGAAGACAAGGGTCATGGAAAAAACCAAGTGGCTTGATATCAAAGGAAATCATGGTAAGAGTCAAGACCCACATATGATTAAGACTATGTTTTTATTTCCTTCAGTACCCTAGATTCTGCAGCTTTAGATTGTAAAATTATTGAGACATTGTATCATAGGTTTAGATATACTGAAGGCCACAACTCAAAAATATAACTATAACATGTGATTTTAAAACTTCTGATGTCACTGTTGGCTTTTGAGGAGAAAGTTGGTATGGTCCTTTCTTCTTTACATGGAAGAAAAGCTTCTACCAAAACCGATGCAGGTAGATGTTTAAAAATATATACATTTTGCTAAATGAAAGAAGCCAAACTTGTAGTCTACAAACTGTATGATTCCAGTTCTGTGACATTCAAGAAAAGGCAAAACTATAGACAGATAACAGATTGTGGTTGCTAGGGATTGGAGATGCAGGGAGAGGTTGACTACAAAGAGATATCCTGAAAGAATTTTGGGGGGTGATGGAACTGTTCCCATTGTGGTGGTAGATATATAACTATATAATTATCAAAACCCATAGAACTGCACATCACAGAGAGTGAATTTTACTGTATATACATTAAAAAATTAAAATTGCAAATAAATCCCCAAATGCATGGGGAGAGAAATGGATAATCCCTTTCCATTCTTCAGATTATCTTTGTCATATTGGTAAGGGAATGAACTCTTCTTCCAAAGTATCCTGATGGTAGTAGGTTTGTTTGTTTTACGAAGGTTGACTTTTCTTATTGATTACTTCATTTGTCTATTCATTTGATTATTCGTTGCTGATGAGTACCTAATTATATATATATTTTTTCTTTTAAAAAAGTTTTTATTGTGATCTCTCATTTTCGTACTTGAATTACAACATTCCTCCAAGGGGCGATGATGCATAATCATATTCTAAAAAGTACATGTAACGTATTATAGCATCTCCTCAGTGTACTATTGATTGTCTTAAGTAAAAATTCCTTGGTTAAGAAAATTCCTTTTCTTTTAATCCTTGGTGCTGATATCAGACCGCCCTTCAGTCCTACTTCTTATCATACTGACATGATCTGGCTCTATACTCTGACCTCCCTCAAGAACAAGACACAAGAACTTGTTCTGGAATCCCTTGGGCAACTGCAGCTAGGATACTCAACAGCCTCAGCTTCAATTTACAGAGGTTTATTTCATCATTGTTTTTTTCTCTTAAATTTAGGCTATTGGTGCTGAATTATGAATTGGAGATTTGTGTGTATCTTGGAGGCTGATATTCCCCACAGCCTGAGGGTCACCTCAGCTAAGCTGAGGCTTCACCCGAGAGCAGAGCTGTCTGCCTCTGACTGTCCTTCCATAGAAGAGGGGTCAGCCAGCCAGGAGATAAATTCCTTTCAAAAGCAAACAGCATCATGTACCCTGCTGGCTCTTGAAGCTACATACATCGAGCCATAAGCCTTGCTCTCAATTCTTAGAAGACCAGTCTGGGCTGTCTTCTACTTATTGGGTGATGGAGCCAATGGGGGGCTGCACAGGCCTCAGGCTCCTCGTGATCATTACAACACACTCTGTGTTCTGTGGTGCCCAGGGAAGGTGCTGGCTTCCTCCTTGCCTATGTCATGTGACTGTTCCTAATCTGATACTTCCTTACCAAAGAAACCCCTATATTTTCCTTATTTGTGCTGGTGCTTCAGCTGGACTTGCTTCCACAGCAGGCTCTGGCTCCAGAGGATGAGGCGGTGGCTTTGTGGGCTAGGATGTTCCTCCAATACCTGAGGGGAGCTTCCTGTGTGGCCGTGGAAGATATTGCCTGTCCTAGAGCTTGATTAGAGCTCAGAGGCTGCTGGAAACTGGCAGCTTTGCTGAAGTGGTCCAGTGCTTTGATTTGGGATCTTTAACTGGTTTAGTCCAGACCAGTGCCTCTCCAACCTGGAGAGCAGCTCCCAACTTCTGGGCCATCTCCACCATCTCAGAGTGAAATTCCAGAAAGCTACTCTCCTTGAGTAGGTTGACTTTCTTCTCCATCTCCTGATATTGGGCCAGGGTCCCCGCTTCTCACCTTGGTTGTACAGCAGCACAGCGTAGTTCAGGTTGGCTAAAGGATTACACTTATCCAGGTGGACAGCTTCTGCATAGGCTCTCTTGGCATTTTCTGTATCTTCCAGATTGGTCAGAGCCACAGCCAAGAGCATGTAGAGCTCCCCCATCTTTGGCTGGAAGTTGATGGCTGCACTGAGAAAGTGGAAAGCTGATGCATACCGCTGCATGGTCAAGTGGACAAGGCCCAAATAATAGAGAATCTTCCAATCGATGGGTGCCAAGTAGTTGGCTCATTTCAGGCAGCGATAGCAGCTACATATTTCTTCTTTCCAAGAAACACATTCCAATGTAATTCCAGAGTGGAAGACTTTCTGGAACAGCACAACCTACAACTCTGTATTTGGTGAGGGCGACATCAAAGTCTCTGTGGGTCTGCATCATGCTGCCTGCTGCCAAAATGGCCTTATAGTTGGTAGGGTCATAAGTCATTACATTCTCAAGATTTTCAAATGCCTTCTGTTAAATGCTGAGCTGTAAGTAGAGTAATCCTAAAGTTGTAAGAAGTTCTGTATTTGCTTTCTTGTAAATTTTGATGGCCTTATCCAAGTCTCCCTCCAGCAAATGAATCTTCCCCAGTATTATGTAAGTCAGATCATGCCTTTTAAGGTGTAGGGCATTGTACAACTGGTCTTATGGCTTGTTGAACTGTTTCAGATAAATGTAGGAAACTCCTAGGTCATGACAGATCTCCCAATCTTTCTGGTTAAGTTTAGCTGCTTCATTATATACTTCAGTAGCAGCTTTATGTTTTCCCGAAAGAAAGAAAGACCTGGCCACCTGCTTGAGGTTATCACACACTGAGGGATGAGAACAGCACAAGTCTGAAAGAGTTCTAGAGATTCTTGGATATTTCCTTCTAGATGAAATATCAGTGCTTGGACATAGATAGCATTTTCACATAGCCTCTGGGTCTCCTGAAGCTGTTCTTTGATAACAATCTTGCACACTGCATAATCTTTCCGGATATAGTGGAGATGTATCAACCAGCTCTGCTTCTCTAAATTAGGGAACTCTGGAGCTTTTTTTAGCTGGGGTTTTTGAGATTCAGCAGATGCAGGAAACTGAGTTCTCCTTTCGAATCTCTCCTCAGCCATCTTGACTCCACCCCCTAATTATATTTATTTTTAAATAACATTTTAAACCAATAATTCTATCTGGTTAAATACAGATAGAACTGCTCTTTTACAAAGCAACTAGGAATTATAAATTGAAAATGGGATATCTGGCTTACAACTTTCTCTGCTATATTTACATTTCTTTTATTTCCTGATCCTAATTAGTGATACAAGTCAAATTCTTTTGCAATAAGTGGCAAATATGTGTGTATTTTTAAAAAAGTTTTTCAAGTCAAGCTGCTGACTTATTTCAAGTAATAAATATCAAACAGACTCTTGTGATGAAATAATTTGGATAGTCCTTTGGTGTTCATAATAATCTGATTGGACTTGCATAAGCATGAATGCTTCTGCTATGGGTATATATACTTGTATGTTGTATTAAGAGCGGAAACTAATCTTTACTAAAATTGAACTATAACAGAGTTATCTTCTTACTGAGCAAGAGGATTATATACATATTAATATTTCTTTTGGCCTAAATTGGGCTGACAGCTTACTTTCTAAGGTTATTAGAAATATAGTGGATTCTTGGAAGTCAAACAATTTTAACTATTATAACCAGTCAGTCAAACTCTAGGAAATCATTATATTTCCAGGTAAGTGTTCTGTGACATCCTGAATCTTAACCTTTACCATTATATAATTCGCTTCTTACCAGATCTTCTTTGTGATTTAAGAAGAGAGGGGCTTTGACCCTGTTTCAAAGTGCTATGCTGTTTAGAAGCATGAGGCATAAATCTACTTAGGCAAGATTCTAGTCTTTGCTGGCTTCCAGAATCACATGATTAAAACAGCAGCAACAACTGTCCAATCTTGTAACTTCAAATTGATTTATATTCTGAATAGTATATAATTCAAAGTATTTATTATTCTACTAGATGCCTTAAATAAGTTTCCAGATAATCTTAATTCTATTATCAAGTTTTAAAAATCTAATTAATTGCCATCCTACTATTTAAAGTGTTATTGAAAGATTTGTCATTTTTATTTAGTCATTAACATGTTTTCATTTTTCTTTTTAATATAGATGATATTTGCTCTTTTTTTTCTTCTTCGCTCTTTTTAATTAGATGCATTCAACATTCCAAGTCTGGAGAGTGTCGAGAATTATTACAGGTACTATAACGAACAGAAGACAGACCATGATGTGTTACAAGGAGGGTGCAGACAATTCAATAAATGGGTGAAAACATTTTTTAACAGATAAGATTTCTATATATAGAAACTCTGGTAATTTAGAAAAGGAGACTCTGTGTGTATGTGTGACAGATTCAGTTTTTTTGGTTTTGTTTCAGGACATTTTCCTTTAATTTTTTTATTTCATTAACTTTAATACTTTTTGTTTTCTAATGGTACTATTAATATTCTATACAGACTTTTTTTCCCCCATTGATGCATAGCAGAAGTCATTTAGATCAGAGCTTGTCAACTAGAGTACTATGGTTTTTAGGAATGCTGAGATACTGATTCTCTCAGCCTCTAGGGTGGTTGAAGAGTCCAACTGGTCACCCCTGGCTGCTTTGTCCTTTCATCCTAGTATGTCACACAAATATGAAAATTTTCTCTATGTGCCATGAATATGAAAAAGGCTATGGATGTGAAAGGATCTTTGAGTTAGAAAACCAATTCTCTAATTTCAGTGTGTTGAGATTCTTCTTTTGCTTGTAATTTCACTTTCAATTTCAGGGTATTCAGTAGCTTTGTTCTGCGTTGCCGATCAAGTAGCAAGTATTTATTGAGAGCCCATAATTAGTTAGATAGTATGAGAGATACAAGAAGAGTTAATATTAAAAAATACAGCATCTACCTTCAAGGAAGTCTAGCTAAGGGAGATACAAATTATTTAGGAAATAATTAGAAAAGAACATGAAGGAATGGCTGGTGAAATGCTGGATTATTTGTTACATATGATCATCACTCTGAAAATTAGAAAAGTAAGAGATCAGCTTGGGATGGACATAGAAAAGACTTTATTTTTAGCTAAAACGTTTTTTAATTTGGTATAATTGACATATAATATTGTGTAAGTTTAAGGTGTACAGCATGTTCATGTGATACACATATATTGCAATATGATTATCACCATAGCTAAAAACTTAGGTCACATAATTATCATTTCTTTTTTTGTGGTGAGAACAATTAAGATCTAGTCTCTTTGCAACTTTAAAGTTTATAATACAGTATTGTTGACTATAATTATTATGCTGTGCATTAGATCTCCAGAACTTATCTACTAGTAGCAAATTAGAGAAGATGCTATAAAAGAAGTGAAAATTGCATCCAGTTTTAAAAGATGAGTAGGATTTAGACAAGTAATAAATATTGTGGGGTATATTTGGGCAAAAAGGAAAACAGCTTTAAAAGCTAGAATGAGCTTTTGGGGGCAGTAAGGAAACTGGTATCACTAAAATAAAGGTTCATATTGAGTACTGACATGATATTGGATAGGTAGCCTGGGGCCAATTTATGAATGTCTTAAGTGATAAGCATAGAAATTTAGATGTGATGGGTAGTAGTTCATAATTCAGTATGGGTTCCCAAGGTGACAAGTAACATAATGAAAATAGTATTTTATAAAGGCGATTGCACAAAAAATAAAGATAGGAATAAAAAAGAAAAAAGGGAGAGATTGGAGTTAGGTAGATCAAATAGGAGAGTCTTGCAGTAGTCCAGTCATAATATGAAAAGAGCCTGAAATGAATAGAGGACAGACTTGTCTGTACAAAGTTCCCGGGTATGGGGATGGTGACATCAATTTGGGGGTGATAGGTAAAAGATTTTAACTAAGATATAATTAGAGTCACAATAATTTGGAAAAGGAGGTCGTCCTCTTTTGTTAATGTGCAAAAAGAAAAGGCCAGTGATGACAATCTTTCACTCCCTGTTAACTGTTAATCTTTGATGGTAACTATGGGAATGGAGTTAAGAAACATTTTCAAAGAAGAATTAACAGTACTTAGAGTCTGACTGGTTATTGAGAAAGCAAAGTTGTTAGTCACTTTAAAATTTCTTACCTTTATAATTTTGTTTCTAACCACTTAAACTATCCGAATTTAATAAATGGCATTTTTGCTAAAGATGTAGATATTACAGAATATCAACCTGAAGGAAAAAAACATCTTGATCTTAAGAATGCCCCAAAGAATGCCAAAATCCAGAATTCAAAAAATGTTACTATCATATATTTTAGCCTCTGCTTTTAAATAGTTGGATTTGTTTTTAGATAGATTTTAATGTGTGAAAAATATAGGAAAGGAAACAATACGTGAGGTTATAAAACCTTGAGCAATAACTCTGAAAACAAATTGAGCAGGAAAAATGTAAATAAAAATTTTGATGAGGAAAAAGCCCTGAAAGAGAAAATTTAAAAATACCAAGAAAGGAGGCTATAGAATTAATTGCCTATAAATTGTAATATCTGTGATAATATATTTATTTTATGATATATTTGATGGCTGTTGTGGCTTAAATACAGCTCCCTGGTAGCACATTAAGTTTCAGAAGTTTATTTGTATTTTTTTACATATGCTTCTAGGTAAAACATCATATAAGACCCTTAGATATTTTCTTTTAATGTTCTGACATTTGACATGTAGCTCACTTAAAATTATCCTAGGCAAACCCCAATGTAATCTATACTTTCCTTCACATTTATTCAGCAAATGCTTAAAGAGCGCCTACTCTGTATACTGTATTACCCATTCTTTCTCTCTATTCTTCACGCTCCCACTTTATGGACACTGAACACTATTGACTCTTAAGGTAGGGAGGACTTTCATTATTGAACGTGGACTCTGTGTATGTTATCCATATATTTTTAGGAACTGAAAAAGATTTATTTACCTAGACTTAGATTATCATTTTCCTCCTGGCTTGATGACTTACATCATCTTTACAAGGCTTTATTGTGAGTTAAGCCTTTGTAGTCCTGTTTCAAGAAGTAAACACCTTTTGTATCTCACTGCACCAAGAATTCTAGTAGGTACTTAGTAGGATTTCACTTTTTTTAATGATTGGTAAGTATCATTTACTGGATTCTGATTGATATCTTTTGAAATGTTTAGTGGGTTGCTTAAAATAGCACCCTTACTTCTCTGCTTTACTTGACAACCTTGTGTTTTGGTTACTGATGAATTAGCCTGAGTCTTCAGAGACAATGGGAGAGGATCTTTAAATTTTCTTTTAATCAATTTATCCATTATGGATCTAGTTTAGTGTATTTCTCTGTCAAATTAGGAAATTTCCTTTTCAAAGGAGGCAAAATGTAGTGTGATATTAGGGAAGGAATTTGAACTTCTTCTTTTATGATTGCACTAAAATTTTCCTGCCTTATATTTTTTAGGAAATATTCTGCTGTACATAGGGATGGCTCTTTCCATTATGTCCACAGTACTCCCTTTGGCAACTATTCTTTCATCTCTTTGGATGCCACCCCAAATCCAGGGCCTAAAAGACCCTATAATTTCTTCGGAATTTTAGATGAGGTACAGTAAAAATCTCACTTCCCTTTGTAGCTAACCTATTTTATTTTTTTCTCAGATACATGTAGCTTACTTAAAGTTATCCTAGGTAAACAAGTTCTTATCTAGAAATGCTTGAGAAAAATTTTTACTGTAGTTACATGTATGGCTAGAAGAAATCACTGGCTACTTCAGCACTGTCATTGCTATCCCTATTCTTGTACTAAAATCTGGGAAAGAAGTACCTCACATTTTATATTTATTCAATAAAAATGTATTAAATATATACTACTGGGCATACAGCTTTGTATGCTATATAGTATATTCCTAAATCCCCACAGTTGCCATTTTTAACTAAAGATCTGTATTTTTTTTTTGTAAGAGAAGGGCAACCATTGAAGTAAATAAGTTTCTTTTAAAGTACTTATTGTAAGCTAGGTGAAACTCTTGCTGGATTAAAACTGTCTGGAAAGTCCCATCTGAGAACTTCTCATTGTTTCTTGGTACAATAAATGTCAACTCATAAATTTTTTTCTTTATTTTTTTTAATTTATTTTTTTATAGTGACATTGGTTAACGTAATCCAACGTTTCAGCTGTACACTTTAACAGTAAGGTATATATATATTTACACTGTATCAACTCATACATTTTTAATGAGCACATGCCCATATGCGTGACATATATGCCCATATATAAGAATACAAAAGCGATAAGATCAAACACTGGCCTCTTAGAATATTTAATCTAGTGATAGGACATACAACCAATGCAGAGTTAACTATAATAAAAGGCAGAATTTGCTAAGTGCTAAATGAGATTCTAAGTGATCTGAGGGTTCAGAGGAGCTACAAATTAAGTGAACAGACTGTTGTTAGATGCATTGTGTTATATTAGACATTTTATTTAACGAAGGTATATTTTGTTTCCTATCAAGTGTCTTTAGATGGAGTTGATTAACTTATTGTCTTAAAATGTACTCCTCAAAACAGTAAGGTGTGATTTAAGGATCGTCCGCATGAAAATTAGCTGGAGTCTTATAAAATGCAGAATCCCAGGATTCACCTGAGACTTATCAAATTAGAAATCCTGAGGGTGGGTCCCAAGAATTTATTGCTATAAGCACTTCACTGATAATATTAATGTATATTTATATATGCACAAGTTATTTTTGAAATCAGCTTCTTGAGGGATGATTTATAGACAATAAAATGCACTTGTTTCAACTGTTTGAAGAGTTTTGATAAATGTATATACTGATGTAACTGTCACCACAATCAAGGCAGAACATTCCATTACCCCACAAAGTTCTCTTGTGCAGTCAGTCTCCAGCCCCAGTTCCAGGGGACCACCGATTAGTTTTTCTGTCAGCATAGATTAGTTTTGTTTGTTCTAGAATTTTATATATTTGAAATCATACAGTATATACTCTTATGTCTGGCTTCTTTTGCTCGGTATAATGTTTCTGAAATTCATCCATTTTATTGTGTTCTTCCCTTTTTATTGCTGCGTAGTATTCCATTAATGAATATACTGCAATTTGTCGATGGTTTCTAATTTTTGGCTATTATGTGTAGAACTGTTAAGAACATTTAGGTATAGGCTTTCTGTAGACATGTGTTCCTCTTATTCTAGAAATTTAGTTTTAGTATCTTCTTTATTCATTGCATTGTGGTATACAGGGCTGAAAAGATTACTGGCTCTTTTTAATAAAAAAATTTATAAATAAAGAAATTTATGTAATTTAAAGATTTTTTATTTCTCAGTTTCCTTATCTATCAAATGGGGATAATACCTGCCCTACTTAGCACAGTTATTTTTAGGATCAAGTGAATTATAATGTATGTGAAAATAGTTTGAAACTTACAGATGTCCATACAGGTCATTAATTAGTAGGGTTTAAGCCCTAGGCGTAATGTACTTATTATTATAAAACTTCAAGGGAGTTGTTTAATCTGTTGACATCAAATTTCAGCCTGAGCCCTAATTAAAGATCCTTCTATTTTTCTTCCATTTCAGAAACGGATGAAGGAGCTTTCAATACTGGCCAAGGAAAGTAGTCAGAGTAACCACAGTATTTGGTTTGGACATTTTACAACATCCACTATTCTTTCTCCATCACCAGGAATTCGATCAATAATGAGGTGAGGCAGGGTTCCAAAAACAAAATTAGTTGTTTTTAATTCTTTTTTGTTGTACTACCTATCTTGCTTTCCTGAAGAGATGTTTTTATTAGTTTGGCAACACAAGTTATCTTTGTTCATTATTCCATTTATTTTTTATTGGTTAGTTCGGCTACAGCTTATTTGTGTGGGCATCTCCATACACTCGGTGGACTGATGCCTGTTTTGCACACTCGTCACTTCCAGGGCACTTTGGAACTTGAGGTGGGAGACTGGAAGCAAAACAGAAGGTAAGGGAACTACCCCACAAAATAAAACTTATACATGTTAAGTTTTGCTAAAACAATGATAGCGTTCTTATTGCTATCATCAGTGATCCCAGTTAAGGAAAAACTTGTGATATCTCTGTTTTTGAAGTAATGTATGTACCTGGCAATCTTTGTTGTTATGCAAAAACACTGTTGCAACAGTTACACGTTTGCTATCACTATGTTATGTTGGATTTTCAAGACATATCCATTAGGAAATAGTTCTCAAACTCTAGTGTGCACAAGAATTATGGAAGAGCTTATTAAAAATAAAAATTTCCAGGTCTTACTTCTAGGGATTTTGATTGTATTGGTCTAGGGTAGGAGCCAAGAAACTGCATTTTTGAAAAAGCACACCAGGTGCTCTATGAACCACATTTGAGAAACATTAAGACTAGAAATATGTCCCCACCCCCCTGACTCTTATATCTACTTTTCTAGTTATTGCTATAAGATATTAGTGATTTAAATTCTTCAAATAGATGATAATTTTATTAAGGTTAAAATTTTTCTAAGAAAAAACAATTTATCTGTCAAAAGCATACAGTGTAGTTAATATATAGAGAAGAAACTAAATATATATTTTGATAGTAACTATTTAAATGAAATAGTTTAAGTATAGATGAGTATCATCTCCTTATACATTTTGAGGGAACTATTTAAGTGAAATAGTTTAAGTATAGATGAGTAACATTTCATTGTTTCAATTGATAACTATTATCAATTGCTATTGAATTAAAACCCAAACTGAAGATATTAGGCACCCAATAAATATTCGTTGAGCTGACTATGTTTTTCTTTCCATTTTTAACTACTTCCATTAATTAGAAAGCAGCTTGGTCATTTCGGTTGGCTTTTCTAGAATCTGTAAAAGCTATGCTTAAAGCCTGTAATTAGTTGGCTACTGTAATTACTTTGAGCTAAGACCTATCTATCCATGATTGTGAGGCTGTGGGCTGGGCTGGGATTGCCTCTTACCAGATAGCCTTCCTAACCCTTGATCAACCTCTTTATTTCTTACAATACAGTTTCAAGTTAAGCAATGTTAATTATAAAACCATTTTCTTTCTTTCTCTTTCCACCTGCTCTCTTGTGTTCCAACCCTGGGGTTTTATCTGGGGCTTTACTGAAAGGACCTAACCTTTACCTGCCTTTATTATACGTTTGAGTTGTATTAGTGAAATAGAAGAGTTTTTAAAAACAATATATTAGTAATAGTAGGCTAGGCTTTGTTGTGGATGCAACAAATGTAGAAATATCAGTGGCTTAACAAAACAGACGTCTAATTTTTCATGTCTGTAAATCTGGTATGAGTCAGGGCAACTGTATTCCACAGAGTGACAGGGATTCAGACTTCTTTCATCTTAAAAGGCTACTATTTTGATACCTCAATTCCAGGTCAGGGAAGAGAGCATGGAGAACTCACACCCACTCTTAAATACTTTGGACCGGAAGTGTGATACATGTTACTTCTATTCACAGCTCATTGGCCAGAACCAGTCACATGGTCTCAACCTAGTATCAGGGAGATTGGGAAATGCAGGGGAGCACATGGAATATTTGGAGAGCCCTATCGTTTCTGCCATAGTTAATCATTTCTCACTTCTAAAAGTTAGAAAATACAAAACTTTGGTTATTCTTTAATGAGTATTTATAACTCTCATTGTGCATTTAGAAAATCAAGACAACTTAACTTTTGTTAATTTCTTTGAAATTATAGAAATAAAGATTTAAAAGATGATTGAAAGGTTTCTAATTGTGTTTATTTTAATATTTTATGTAGCATTTTTGATGAGATGAAGACTGTCAGGTATTAGCTTTATGATGAATGTCTTAGGTTAAAAATAGTCTTAAAGCATAAAAATCAAATGAATTAATTCAACAAACATTTATTTAAAAATCAGAGTGCATGCTATGTACCAGACATTGTAGGGTACAGTTAAATTCATTGCTTCAGTGAAATCTCAGTTGTTGTGACAAATGTGAAGTATAAAGTAATAGGGGCAAGGGAAGAAGACAGAAAAACAATATTATTTACTCTCCATTCAAATTCATGATCTCAGAAAGCATAGTTTTATATTTTTATATTCTGTATATAACCTTCATACCTCTTAAAATATGAACTGACTAAATTGCCTCCTTGTCCTCTGGTCTCTAGGTACCGCATCTTTGCTTTTGATCATGACCTCTTTAGCTTTGCAGATTTGATCTTTGATGAGTGGCCTGTGGTTCTTATCACCAATCCTAAGTCACTCCTCTATAGTTGTGCTAAACACGAGCCTCTTGAAAGACTCCTTCACTCAACACACATCAGGTAAGTAGCACATTTTCAGAATTTACTTTTAGTTTGATATTAATGGAGAATACATCATCATTGTCACTGCATTCCCATGTGACAGCTATGAGATGCCCTTCAGTTGTTTCAACAATTTAAACATATAAAGATAAATTGCTTACTGTTTTATTCTAATTCAGTTTAAAAAATGTTTTCATAAGATGCTGAAATTTAAAAAAAATTCCAGAAATTGTAATATTATTACTTTTGTGTATTCCACCTTTTTATTTGCATGTTGTTACATTGCTATAATCACAACGTACATATTCTTTTATATCCTACTTTTAAAAATTTATGTTTTATATCAGAAATATTTTTTTCATTTTGCTACATAGCCTTCCAGAAAAGCAAAAGCTATATAAACGTTATGGAATTGAATGTTCAGTTGCCATGTTGAATTTGACAATATGAATTAAAGAGACTTACAGCCTTTTTCAAACATAAGGGCACTCTTTTTAATATATATAGTTTTTAAAATTTTATTTCGAAAAGTAAATGCAACCACCACCTTTAGAAAATAGGGTATGGGATTATATGTATATTTTCTCCTCATCTCCCCAACCCCCAACAGAACATAACATTTCTGAGTTTTCCTTTTCAGGCAATCTCTTTTTGTTATGTTTTTACATAGTTGTAATCTTAAGGCACAGTCTATTCTAATTTCTACTTTTTTTTAAACTTCAACAGAGAAAATGTACCACAATTTACCTAACCATTTTCGTATCTTTTTGGTGACCTTTTAGATTTTTTTCTAATTTAGGGATAAGCATCTGGTATATATAGATTCTTCCTTAATTTGAATAATTTCTTTAGATAGAGTTCTAGAAGTGGGATTCTAAGTTAAAGAGTTTGAATTCCTATATGACTTGATAAAGATTGTTCAATTCCTTTTTTTTTGTAGCTAAAAGCATTATTCCTTTTTTTAAAATTGTGGTAAAATATACATAACATAAAATTTACCATTTTAACTATTTTTAGGTAGACAGTTCAATGGCATTAAGTGCATCCATATTGTGCAACTGTCACCACTATCCATCACCAGAACTTGCATCTTCCAAAACAAACTCTGTACCCATTCAACAATAACTCCCTACCCGCCTCCCCCCTGCCTCTGGCAACCAGTATTCTACTGTCTGTCTCTATGAATTTGACTACTCTAAGTACCTCATATAAGTGGAATCCTTTGTCCTTCTGTGACTGGCTTCTTTCATTTAGCATAATGTGCTCGAGATTCCTCTATGTTGTAGCATGTGTCAGAATTTCCTTTCTTTTTAATGCTAAATAATATTCCATTGTATATGCCACATTTTGTTTATCAATTCATCTGTCAATAGACACTTGTGCTTCTATCTTTTGACTAATTTGAATAATGCTACTATGAACAATACTACTATGTTGATAAGTGCAGATACTACACTTTATCTTAGCCAAAAGGCCAAGAAGCAATGAACAATACTACAAACATGGGTGTACAAATATTTGTTAGAATCCCTGTATTTACTTCTTTTGGGTATAAATCTAGAAGTGGGCTTGCCGGATCACACAGTAATTATAAGTTTAAAATTTTGAGGAACCGCCGTATTGTTTTCCATAGCACTGTACCATTTTATATTCCCACCAGCAGTGGATAAGGTCCCCAAATACTTTTTAAAACGGATACTAGTTTATATGTTACCAGGCAATATGAGTGCCAGTTTCATAGCTCTCTTACCATAATTAGATATTGTATTTTAAAAAAAGATTTACTACTTAATCTGGAAAAAATGGTATCAAGCTGTTTTAATATATGTTTTTTGATGACTAGTGAAGTGAAACATTCATCTCTCAGTCAGGTGTTTTGATAGGAGCTGTATATGAGATTAGGCTTTATATTCTCTGGGGCCTGATAGCCTTAGCCTTGTTTGTGGCATTGCTTCTTCCAGATAGATAGAAGAACCAAATGAGTAGATGGTAGACTTGATATTAGATTAACAAAATGAGACGTCTAACCTATATTCTCTTCCTATGAGAAAAACCAGGACTTTAGGAGTTTCTTCAGAAAGGACTTTGGATCTACTCCAACTTGATTTGTCAAAAGAAAATTGATTTTCCTTTCTAAAAAGTAAAAGAATAGTTCCTAATTTCTCACTAATTCAGGTTTGCTGAATTATATAATTTCAAAAGCCACCATTCAGAAAGAAATCAGATCATATAGAATAGTGGTCCCTACAGTTGTACAGTGTGATGGTTCTGCCTGTACTTATATCTTTTTGGGTTATTATAGGGTTATTCTCCTTTATAAAAACAGTGATAAATACCTAAAACTATGTGTTTTATATATGCTCTTATTTTAGAGTCTTGGCCTTTTCATTATCCTCCATTACTTCTGTCACAGTTAAAATTGATGGAGTTCATTTAGGGCAAGCTATTCATTTGTCTGGTCCTATTTTCACACTCAAGTGGAACCCAAGAAACTTCAGTAATAGCTCACATAAAATAGAAGTAATCGTCCAGGTAAGTTAGTAATTTTCAATTTGGTATATAAATGCTTAGGCTGTAACCATGCCCAACTCTTATTTTTTTTTTTCAGTCAGTTGATAAAAATGAAACTAAGTTTAATAAAAAATGTAGATATATTGGATTTAGTATGTACTTAAAATGAGCACTCAGGAGTAATTCTACTATTAGACTGAAAACTAGGCAGAAGAAAAGAGGAGTGCACAACTACTGGCCACAGTCCACTCCCCGCTCCTCCCCCTACCCCGTTTTTTAAACCCTAGGGAATCATGCTTTTGTTTTCTTCCAACTTTGGCCAGTGTCTTTTTAATAATGGGAGAAAATTCTCCAATATACCAAAAGATAATAGAATAAGTCAGAAAACATGTATTTATGTATCCATACCTTTACCGTATCCAAGTATAGGAAAATTGTGTCACTATTTTGAAAACTTTAGGACAGACAATATTCAAGGCATCAAAAAATTTTTTCGTTTGGGGAATATGCATTTATATCATTTGCATTATAGTCTGCCTGGCCTTATTCTGATTCGACCTGGGTGGGGGATGGGGTGAGGGGTGGGTGTGAGCATTTAATTAACCAGCATCTGCCAGAGTAGAAAGTGATCATAGTTACGAAAATAGAGCAGTTTCATCAGCATTATAAAACTCTTTAGAGGATAGACTGTGCTCAGAAATTAGTTTCTAAAACAAAAATATATTGTCACTTTCTACAACTTTATGATTTGATGAGAGTTTAAATATTTAATCTTCTAATATTAAGTTGATTTGAAACACGAAGTAATCCTTCAGAAAACACATGAAATTGTTGTTGTTGTGGTTGTGGTTGTTGTTATTATTACTATTATTATTATTATTTTGGTCATAGAGAAAGATTTTGAGCAGGAAGG